CTGATGCTGCTTGGCCTGCTGTGTTCATCCAGCTCTACACCTGGTTATCTCAGTGGAATGTTGATATTGCTGGCAAGGTAAGTACATATTTACCCTTTTGTATCTGGCCTGCCTGGTGGTGAGCTGGCTTCCGAAAAGAAAATGCAGCCCCATGTTGTGAAGAGACAGCCATGCCCAGTATGATTAATAATGGAATCGGGAATTCATGTCCACATCAGGATGGCTAGAGCCAGGAAAACAACGTGGTCGGTGGCGGTGTTGTTTCTGCATCTTGTAGACAGTACTTACTGCTGCCACTGTGCATCAGAGGACCAGGTGAATACTTAAGGTTGTGGATGTGATGCTGATATGAATTGCTTCATCCTGGATGGTGTCAAAATTCTTGTAGAGTCATACAGCCCATAAACTGACCCTTCAGTCCAACTCGTCCATACTGATCAGACATCCCAATCTGATCTAGTCCAATTTGCCAGCATTTGGCCCATATCCCTCTAAACCCTTCCTATTCATATAACCATCCAGATGCCTTTTAAATATTGTAATTGTACCAGTCTCCAACACTTCCTCTAGCAGCTCATGACATAAACATGCCACCCTCTGCGTGAAAAGTTACCCCTCAGGTCCTTTACAAATCTTTCCCCTCTCACCTTAAACCTGACCTCCATAATCATGGAGAGCTCCAAAAGGCTGGTTATGGCCCATATCAACTCTAGCCTCTCAGCCTGCCTTGATCCCCTGCAATTTGCTTACCAGCAAAACAGGTCCACAGTGGACACCATTTCCCTAGCCCTACACTCATTCCTAGACCATCTGGATAACGAGGACATCACATTAGGTTCTTACTCATCTACTATAGCTTCGCCTTCCACACCATAATCCCTTCCAGATTAGTCTCGGAACTCCAAGCCCTAGGTCTCAGCTCCACCCTCTGCAACTGGATCCTGACCCACAGGCCGCAATGTAGATAGAAAACAGCACCACCTCCACAATAATCTTCAACACCAGCACCCCCCAACAAGGATGCGTTCTCAGCCCCCTACCATACTCCCTGTACACCCACAACTGTGAAGCCAAATTCCGAACAAACGCTATCTACAAGATGGCACCTCTGCGGTAGAACGGATATCAAACAACGATGAGTCAGAATACAGAAAGGAGAGAGAGAGCTTGGTGACGTGGTACAATGATAACAACC